AACCTTTGTTACTCGGATGTTTTTGAACTGCAACTCCCAGAAACCCCAGCCAGCACAGTTGGTGGTGAAGGCTTCTGGGAGTTGCAGTCCAAAACTCCCGAGTAACCCAAGGTTAAGAACCAGTGGTGTAGAGGATAAAGATGGGATTGGGGCCTGCAAGAACCAGTATATAGTCTCTACTGAGCTATGAAACTCACTGGGTGGCCTTGGACCATCCATTCTCTCTCAATCTTCTTCAAAAAGCTGAGAAAATGTAGCGATGCATAAAGCCACATAACACTATTTTGAGTTCAGCATAGGAGAGGCAAGATATATAAGCCATATAAATAACTCCAAAAACCAAATTTTGCAGCCCAATTTTAAGTAGAAAGATGTGAAACAATGCATACACCACTATAGAAGAAAAATGCAGTGTGTTTTTGTTATGTATAGGAAGGATCAGCTGATAGCTTGCCCAAGATACATGTGTGCAGTTACAATTCATATAGTGTACATGTTTTCTCCCTCACCCATGTATACTTCTTTAAGTAAAATGTCATATGCAAATCAGCATGAATAATCAGCAATTGGCAGTACTTACAATGTCACTTTTTAAAATGGACACTGATTCTTTTTTGAAGATGTGGTTATGGGAGAGAAATCTGCTTCTGTTATTCATCTCATAGTGGCACACAGCCAACAAAAAGGGAAAGAAAGATGGTAACCTTAATAAAATAGAAACTAAACACTAGGTAGTTCAGTAGCTTCCAATATTTATTAATTGAAAGCTTGCAAATCATACATTTGTTGTTTATATCTGCTCTGTTTTATCTTTAGGGATGCTAAAATACAAAAGGCAACTGAACGATGGGATTTATTATATAAATGGCTTGGGTCACCAGGTAGTGCTTGAATGAAATAGATTTAAACTAAGATGTAACTGTAAGTTAAAACCTGGAGGGCAATCAAACTGTAGAAAAGCAGATGTCAGTACATTTTGTGCTCTCCTCCCCCTCCTTTTATTCCCCCATACCCCCTTTTACCTTCTGTACCCCTTATGTTATCCCAAACTGTTAACAACAACAACAACAACAACAATAATAATAGAATGCTAAAATTTAAGCAGCACAATTTTAAAAAACCAAGAAAACAAGCAGGTGGATTAATAAGGTGTTGCCCCAGACACTACATGATACAAATGCATGTTGCAGCCTAAAGGGCTTGTTGGCATCTTCAGCAAGGCTATGGCTGGCCCTACCATTAGGCCGAGAGACAACCTCCCCAGGCAGCAACTCTTGCTAGGTGCGGTGGAGGAAGGACAACAATCTGGATGTTCCCCTCTCTGCAGAAACAGCAGATGAAAAAAAGGGGCCAATTTCTGGGATTTTCCCTTTCTTGGTGTCTCTTTGTGAATGGTAGTGAGCACAAGAGGGCATCCTGTAGACAAGTGGTTCCCAGCCTTGGGCCCCCAGATGTTCTTGGACTACAGCTTCCAGAAATCCTGGCGAATACAGCTAGTGGTGCAGGCTTTTGAGGGTTTTAGTCTGGTAACATCTAGGGACCCAAGTTTGGTAACCCACTGCTGTAGACTGCTGCCATTAGTGCTGTCAACATTCAGGCTGTCCTTTCTTTTGTACACCTTGACATCCTTTTTCCTGCTGGCAACAGATGCATGACAATATGCAGCAATTTTGGGCCATTTTCTGGTGTCTTGAATCATGGATACAGAAGCAAACTATCCCACAGTCATAAACCAGAGGTTCTTCTGAAGAACTGAATTGTGAGTCCAACAATATCTACAGGGCCACATGTTTTCCAACTCTGTTTCACATTCTAGATTATTTGCTACCATTCTTCTGCCTGGCAATCTCTATACTTTTAAAAACTGTGTGGCAGTAATATTCACGAGATGGTTTCACTCCAGAGGTTTCATATACAGCTTAAAATATATGCATTTATGTCTGTTTCTAGACTTGATGGAACTGTGGTCAGAGTGCCACCCAGCCAGCCATGAGCTCTCATCTACATCCAGAGATCGTATTTGTTGGTTAAACTTTAGAAATGTCACTCTGTGAGACTCCATTTCCCAGAATTCCACAAACAAGATAGCCTCTGGCTATTGCTGCAATGAGATACTGGCTGCTCCTATCCAAAAATGTAACTTTTCCAAGCTCTTCTTCCCATGAAATGGCCACATTAGACACAGGAATCCGGCCACCATTAATACAGTGCACAACATTCCGGAAGCATCACTGATTTGCTTACAAACTGCATATATTTTAGGCATGCCAATGTTTTTTTTCCCCCTTATCTAGGAGTTACTTTCAGGAAGAAAACTGAATGGAAAAAGATTTATGATGAGGCAAAATATCTTAAGACCCTTACCCTTCATAGACAGTTTTCAAGCAGAAAAAGCCCCTACTATGTTTCCATGGTGTCACCGATTAGTTAGTTAGGCATCCTTCAGTCTCAAGACTATGGTAACGTGCTCTGTATGGAGGACTTGGAACAGCGTCTAGTGTGGGTGAAGAGGCCAATTCGAGAGGGACAATCCCTTCCACACTGAAGACAAATCCAATCTGTCCCCTGCCCAGCTCCCTGCTTTTGCTGCTTTTGTGACTTCCTCTTTGCCTCAGCCTGCTGGACAAGGGTCTACAGCAAATTCTGACTCTCTCAATGTAGTTGGACTGGAGTCCCATCACACATGGACTATGGACAACCACAAACTGCTCACTACCCCTAACGTGAAGGAATAGCAACTATCCATTCTATCAGGTTACATAATGTACAACTTAGGCTCTTATCAGAGTAGAGCTTTGTCTGGTGTCAGGTGAGTTTTAATAGCAATATTGCAGCCTGGACATGTGACAGGACTGCCATCCAGTAAAGGCCATCCTTCGCAAATGGGCTTATCAGATTATTAGATGAGAACATCAGATTATTGCATGACAACACCTTGCAATCTGCTTTACAAAAACAATTATCGGTTACGGTAAACAGAAATCCAGCTGCTGCTTCTCTTCCCACTACAGAGATTCAAATAGAAAATATTTATCTGTTGAATTTCATATGCGTGGTATTAATATCCCTGGTTTGTTTTTGTTTTTGTTTTGCAGAGGAAAATAAATCATCCAGGTAGCAGCATCCATGCATGATGGTTTATTTGTTGCTAGATGCACAGGGTTTTCCCTCTACTGCCTGCCCACACACCATCCAGAATTTCTCTCTCAGTTCTCACTCGCAACAGACTGCCAACCCCCTTTTGGCCAACCTTCTCTGATCTGACTACTGTATTTCATTTCCCTCCCTCTCTCCCTCCCTCCCATCCATCCCTCCCATCCCTTCCATCCCTCCCTCCCTCCCTCCCTCCCTCCATCCATCCATCCAACTTATATACCACTCCATAATGCTTGGAAGACTCTTTGGGCAGTTTAAAACATAATTATGCAAGCATCAACTTTGCCCCCCACCCCCACCTGTGAGCTGAGTATTCATTTTTACTGACTTTGGAAAGATGGAAGGCTGAGTCAACCACCTGAACCGAGCGGGACTGAACTCAGGTTATGAGCAGAGGCTTTACTCTAGCACTGCTATAGTACTGCACTATGGGGCTCACTTCCTTGTTTCACTTGCCTATCCTTCTCAAACCTTTACATTATTCTTTTTTTAAAGAAAAATTACTTTTGCGCTACCTGGCCAGGTTTCACAGCGGAAGTGGTAATACTAAAAAAACAACAAAAAAGGAGAATGCAAAATGTACCTACTTCACTCTCACCTTCTTGTCTTAACCCCTCACCCCTTATCAAATCTTCAGGTTTGTTTGGTTTTTTTGGTTTTCAGTTTTGGATTACAGAACAAAAAGAGTAACATTAAAAAAATTGAAAAAACCTGAATACAAGGAGAGCTTTTATCTCACAAAAACTAAACAAGGCATGAGGGCTGAAGAATGAACAACAGAAAAATGCCCATAAGGAAAGGTCATCAAACGACTCACACCCACGAAGTGCACGGATCAGCATCCATCAAAAAAGTACTGGTGTCCCGATGAACAGATCGTGCACTGCAGCAAATCACAGCAGAGCAAAACAAAAATACGTCACTTACACAGGAGTGCTGTGAAAAAACAATGTTTTCCCCTCCCTGCTTTGACTTTGTTGACACTAGTTTCAATCTTGCATTGTATGGACACTGGGGTGCTGTACCAGTATCATGGGTGCAAAGGAAAGTTATTGAAACTGGTATTTGTACTGGGGGGGGATGAAATGGCAATTACTGTAGTTTGAAAGGGGATTAGAAATGCCAAGGAAGAGACCTCATTCTTAGCAGTCACATTTTCTAAAAATCTCACGTCAGACTCAGGTTATTTCTGGAAGTGAAAAAAAGTTCTCACATGGATGATTCTGACCACTACATCTTAACTTCCGGAGCTATTTATCTAAATTGCTCCTAAGTAAGAATCTTCCAAGTTATCATGTCATCAGAGAAAATATTCTTTCTGAAGGATTTTCTTCTACGTATAATCAGATTTTTCACGTGGGCAAAGCCTGGGCCAAATAGCTTCCCATGTAAAAATAAAGCAGTAAAGTCATTGCTTAAGAACTGTTATCAACTCAAAATAAAGATGTGACTCAGTCCTAATACTCCCCCATATCAATTTTTTTTTAAAAAAAGACCAAAACAAAACAAAAAACCAAAAGAAAACAAGCAGTTCTTCTCCATCTCTTAGGTACTCACCAGATCCAAATACAGATGCACTGTCAATAGTTCCACTGGTCACATTTTCAGCTGATAATCATTTTGCCTCTTCCCCACCCCCAGAAATATTTTCTGTGTTAACGAAAAGGACGTGTTAATTAAAACAATAAGGGCAACAGGTGCTTTGAAAACACACCAGGGATTTTTGCCATTTAATACTGTAAGATCTGCCTAAATAAGCTTTCCACATTGACCTAACTTTGAATGCAACTTTTAGACTCCCCAATTACAGTAGACCCATTGAATCAACAGAATTTACATAAATGTTGGCTCCTCACTCAGTAGTTTATTTAATGGTTCTGCTTTAGTTAGGCTTAACAACACAGTGGTGCCCCTGGGTTTGTGCAGTATTTCCGTTTTCTTCTGGCCAAGAACAGTTTAACGCATGAATCTTAAAATGTATTTCTAGTTACATACAGTGTGTTAAGCTTGAGTGCTTTGTGCAGAACTGACACTATCATTAGAGGCAGCAGCTTAGGACAAACATGTGTACCCCTAAGCTAGTGTTCCTACACATTAGAGAACACCATGTCATTGCTTGTGCTGAAGTAATACCCAACTGCCAGTCTGCCCAGTTTCTCCTGGTAGAATGAGGTCCAAGTCATGACTTTGGCATCAGGCAGCAAAAGGTATCGGGCCAAATCTGGAGAACACACAGTTTTTGATTGACTCAGAAACAGATGCCAACAATCAATCAGACAATCTGCAGTTTGGTATGAAGTGGCATAGGTCCATAGTGGTTAGATGTTTACACACTGGACTACATCCTCTTTCAATAACTCTTTTGTGAAAGGCATTGGCTCTCTTTCAGTTCTGTTTTTATTTCATATTATTCCCTCAGATTTCACTCACATCTTGACAGTTTTATAGGATATTCATCTCCAGCAGTCATCATAAATAAGAAGTGGAGAACTCTATCCTTCCTCTTCTAATATAGTCAGACATATAGATCAGTTGGTTGTTACATATAACAGTGTTATCATCCTTGCCCATAAATTCAGCAATCACAACTCAGGATGTGGCATATGTTCATGGAAGAACATCAAAGAGGAGGCTATTTCACAGGGTGTGTTAAGACTTTCAACCTCCAGCATCTCTCCACATGCAGACGCTTGTAATTCAGAGTTTTGATCTCCTCAGGCATGATATAACACCATCTAGGAAAAAAGGGGTCTGGGTGACAGCTGTGAGGCTGTCCTTTGCCCACCCCTGCCATAGATCTTCAAAGTCAAGACTCACTGCAGGGGGAAGAACACACATCTTTGTTCATTCAACTAGGCATCTAAAACCTACGTGACTGCCACTGGATAATCATTTTATTGAACATGTTTTGGAATATTCTTTTCCAGATGACATTTATTCTGAGTCTCATCATCGAAACTCACTCCAAACTTTTACAGTTCTATTCCATTGTAAGCAGCACTTCTATTTAGCTGAAGTTCACGTTTTGGGATGCATTTGGATACATGAGGCCTACTGCATATACATTAGCCTGGCACACATAGAAAAGCAATATTGAAAGTATTTCCCGTTGATCTGGCAACTCCTACGAGAGACAATACAGTGGTTCTAAATGTTAACAACTATTTATCCCCTCCCTTTCTATTCCAGTTTGCCACAATGAATTAATTTAATTTAAGGAAAAAGTTTCAGTAGCAATTGGTAAGTCCTCAGCTGGTGGTGAACCAGATATCAAGGTCATCCATCACATGAACCAATACTCTCATAGCTAGGTGGTGGAGTGTCACAGACAATGGTTCCTTCGTTCCATGATTCAGAGTCCAGCCTTGGTGGAATGTTCCGAAACAGAACACTATCAGAGGAACTGCGCCGACGGCCTCCATGCCATGTTTCATTTTCATCCATCACCTGATACACAGGCAGCCTGCTTTCCTTCAACATAGGAGCCTGTGTACAGTTTGGCACATTTTCAGCAGGCTGGCAATTCACGGCTTCTTCGTAGGTGGGAATAGCACTGGCTTCCCAGGTCCTGAAAGAAAACCAAGCCACAAACAAGCAAAGACAAGGAAGAAGAGGTATTTCATAATAATATAAGATGCATAAAAACATACAAGATTACCTATTTTAGTAGAATTTTAAAATACCAATTTTAGAGAAAAACAAAATACATCACCACTTTGTATGTGCTCATTCCATGTGGTGTTAAAAGCAACTGAGACTGTAGCTTAACCCATTGTTACCCGACAGCAAATCACACTGAACACACTGAGATTTACTTCTGAGTAGACAGGTACAGGACTGCCCTTTGCACTCTCTTGTGCATGATTTATGCAACAAAAGAGCACCAAGGAACCATTTTTAAGGTCATATGGCCCATTCATCTACCACAGATATGTGAGATTTACAGAAGGTGGTATGCAAAAAAGCATCTAATATTAATAAAATAAAATAAATGTGCACTGCATGAGCCACTGATCATATGTCTTTGTTGCTCTTTTCGTTGTACTTTACTAAGAAAAACACAGCTTGTATATACGCAAAAGTTTCACATAACCTTTGATCATCTCACTTCCTCTTTTTCAAGGGGAGGTAGAAAGTAATAATATACTAAAACCGCAGATGTCACCTTGGCACAGGACTAGCAATCGAGGACACTAAACTGGCTGGATCAGAAGAAACAAACGGAAAAAAAGTTGTGGAATGCAGTACTGTAGCACTGTATCATATTTTTAGGTACAGCCACTAAACTGGCTGGATCAGAAGAAACAAAGGGGAAAAAAAGTTGTGGAATGCAGTACTTTAGCACTGTATCATATTTTTAGGTACAGTGGTGCCCCGCTTGATGACGTTAATCCGTTCCGTTAAAATCGCTGTTAAACAATATCGTCGTCAAGCGAAAGAAAAAAAAAACAATTGAAATGCATTGAAAACCAGTTCAATGCGTTCCAATGGGCGAAATGCCTGATTGTCCAGCGAAGATCCTCCATAGGGGAAGCCATTTTCGATCGCTGTCTTCTGGAAATCGGTCCGGAAAACAGCGGTCGGCCATTTTGAAAACCCGACGATCAGCTGTTTTTGATCGTCGTGAAACGAAAAATCGATTCCTGAAGCAGGGAACCGATCGTCGCGAAGCGGATTTTCCCCATTGAAACATCGTGCGGCAGTCGCAATAGCGATTGCAAAAACCTCATCGTTAAGTGATTTCGTCATCTACCGAGGTAATCGTCAAGCAGGGCACCACTGTATTCCACAAACGTGGAAGCCTACAAATAAGATTACAGATTTTTCACTGCTGGATGTCAAAGTCAATCTAAGAGCCATCATCAGATTTGTAGATACCAAACTTCAATACTGATGGGGAAAAGGAGCCAAATCAGAAAGTGCTAGAATGAAAATTCCAGCTATTTCCAGATATGTGGAATCTTTTCTTTTTTTAAAATACAAATTTAAGTTCTTCAAAAGTTTACAAACTAGTGAAGTTTACTCTTCAAATAAAATCCCAGCTGCACAGTTTAGATGCAAAGGTCTGCCTACCAGGGTACCTGATTTGAGATGAATTGTGCCTCAAATAGCAGGTAAACAGCTTCTCGCACCTTCCACTCAGCCAGATAAAGAAGTTACTCTACATAGGAGCAGCACATGACTTACTCTAATTGCATGATTTAGTATATGCTGGGGTGCCCCTACAGTCCAAAATAAATGCCAAGGAAGAAGTAGATTATTTTATAATGCTTCCTGACTGAACTGACTTTTTACACAATGAAGTCATGCCCTGTTACATTTCAAGCAAATAACACTCCTTGGCCAAGGTCCAACAAAGCTCAAAGTATTCTTACAGCACCCCAAGTATTGTTACTAACCTGGAGGTCTGTTTCTCCAGAGGCTCCACAGTGGAATAATGAAGGTCCCTGGAAAAATGATAGCGATATTGTCGAGAAACAATTCCAGTACTGGCGGACCACAAGAGGCCGAAAAGGAGAAGGAGTCCACCAATTCCACAACAGAAGAAGCTGATGGACCTGAGTACTGCATTAGAAGAGGAAGAACTTGCCCCTGGTCCAGCTTCTTCATGAGGCAAGACCTTCAGGTCACCAGTACTAGAGGTGGTGGCCACCATCTCACCATCGCTCCACCAAGCAAAACATAATGTCCCTGTCACCAGCAGGATAGCTCCAATGATAATCACTCCATGACGCAGAGAAGTAGTTACCATTTTAAAGACAGAGGCCTCTGCAGATCAAATGTCCTACAAAGAAATGGGTCTGATGCTGCAGTTCATGCTGGGGGGCAGGGGAAGAGAAAGAAATAAAAAGATGAATAGATACCATTTGTAGAATGAGGAAGGAAGGTCTTGAGTTCACAGAGACCCCATAATGTTCCCTGTGTGTTTGCTGAAACATCCATGTTGTCTCTTTAATGGAAAAAAAGGATCACATATCATTATTTTCAAATTTTATTCCAAGCAAGATCAGACTACCTCCACATTGATTTCTGACATGATGCATTCATTCACCATAAGTTCATTTTTGTGAGGTGATTTTTTAAAAAAACTTCAAATCTGCCCACACAGATTAAGTTACTGGTGAAAGCACAACTGGGAAACCCAGTCACAATAAACATTCCCCTTAAGAACATTAAATTCAAGATCTTGCCATTTGAGGGTGCGCTCAAGTGAAAACTTCACCATTCAAAATCCCTTGCAGTGATAGCAGCAGCAGCAGCAACAGCAATAATAACAGTAATATTATTAGGTCTTTGTTTGAATCCTACACAATTCCAGAAGAAAACATTTCGGATTGCAGAGATATATATAGATATTGTGCAACATTCCAATTCAGCATTCCATAAGACAATTCAAAAACTGGGTGACCCCAAACAAAATTATACTTTTGAAACCTCAGACCAGCACCAAATTTGGCACAGATATAGCAGACAGCCCGCCCTTGCTCTGGGCCAAATTTAGGAATGGTTCGGCAGAAAATTTTTGAGTTATGACCTTAAAAAAAAAGGAACACTGTTTCACCATCAAACCCCTGAGCACACATGGAGGACCTTCTGTGTCTGCAGATTTAAAACAGATCAAATACATTGAAAAGATCTAAGCTAAAGAAAACAAAACAAAACGACATGGCACTTTAAAGACTATTATATTTTAATGTAAGCTTTCGTGGACACGTCCATTCCACCGAGGGTTGCCAGACGTCAGGCAAAAGGAGGACATGTCCTCCTTTTTAGCCTAATGTCCTCCGTCTGGCAGGTAAACATAAAAACTTTTAAAATGTCCCCCTGTCTTTCCCTGCCGCCCCATTACCTGCTGCCAGCACCGGAATGCAGCCCTCACCCCCTCCTGCCGCCCCCGCCACGGCTGCTTGGCAATCTGCCATGCCGGTCCAGCCCACATGGAGCCCAAAAAGGCAGTGTGAGAAGAGTGCCACCCGGCAAGCCAGGCAGGAGCAAGCAGCGCCCAAGCATATCGATGGGAAGGCAAGCGCCCGGACTGTGTGTGTTCAAAGTCACTTTTGGGGACTCCAACTCCCACACTCCCCAGCCTTGAACTTATAACCCTTGGGGGAGGGGAGGCTGCCTTGTTCGGTTTTGCTCGGCACCGCTTTCCCTCTGCCTGCGCTGGAGCCTTGTTTGGGCTTCCAGATTAGCAAGGTTGCCTCTGAGCCTGTGCAGAGTGTGAGCGGCTGGGGGATCCCGCAGCCAGGCCGGGTTGGGTTCGGGTAAAATTGGCTGTTTAAATAACGCTTTTTGGTATGTTTTTTTAAAGCCTCTATTGAATTTATTTTTATTTTTTAACATGACTGTTTCTTGGTCTGTTCACTAAGATACATTTATTGGCAGCTACAGTGGTGCCTCGCATTACGACGTTAATTCGTTCCAGCGAAATCACTGTAGAACGAAAACATCATAATGCAAAAATAAAAAGCCCATTGAAACACATTGAAACCCCTTCAATGCGTTCCAATGGGCTCAAAACTCACAGTCCAGCAAAGATCCTCCATAAGGCAGCCATTTTTGGTGGCTGTCTTGCGAGGAATCCATCCCAGAAAACAGCGGGGAGCTATTTTATTTACCTGGTGGCCATTTTGAAACCGCCAATCAGCTGTTTAAAAAACATTGTTATCGCAAAAAGATCGTCGTAATGTGGTTTTGTCGTAATGTGGGGCAATCGTAAAGCGAGACACCACTGTATTGTAATAAAACTGTATTGATTGAGGGTTTCCCAGAAAATAAGACAGGGTCTTATATTAAATGTTGCTCCAAAAAACGCATTAGGGTTTATTTTCAGGGGATGTTTTTTTCATGTGCAACAATCTATGTTTATTCAAATACAGTCCTGTCATCTTATTATGGTTGCTGCACAGTGGTGGAGGGCGGGGTTTCTCTTAACTGGGGCTTATTTTTGTGGTAGGGCTTCTATTACGAACATCCTGAAAAATCATACTTAGGGCTTATTTTCAGGTTAGGTCTTATTTTAGGGAAACAGGGTATCTGGCAACCCTAACTCCACCAGACATGGAAACAGAATAAAATGCTGAATGAAATATCAGTTTAACAAGTAAAATATTCTAAATATTCATTGGCTTTTGATATGGTACATCTACATGGAGTAATTCATGGGCTATGATGTTTTCAAACCTGCTTATCTTAAAAGAAAACAGTCAGTCCCTGCCGCCTACTTTTACTTGGAAGGAATCCAGGCATCCAAGGCACTAATATTGACTCTGAAAACAGTCATTTCAAAGGGAGAAAAAGTCTGAATTTCAGCCTTTCTTATAAATGCCAGCATTCTAAATGTAAACCTAAATGCTATAGCAAGCTTGAGACCAGGGAGGTCTGAACCTTTGACCCTGCCAGTCAGTATCACATTTCTCCCAACAAGGGACCCAAAGCAGCTCACAACATTAAAATACACACAACTGAAAAAAAATAAGTTAAATATTAAAAGATAAATTAAACAATATACGATCAGCTATATTTACTATGATAAGCAAAAGGATTTCAATCACCATTTGACTACTGTATGGAACTCGGGTTAATTTCCCAATACCCCCTTGGCACTGCATACTTGAACTTGCAATAGGACCCAAAGCAGCTCACAACATTAAAATACACACAACTGAAAAAAAATAAGTTAAATATTAAAAGATAAATTAAACAATATACGATCAGCTATATTTACTATGATAAGCAAAAGGATTTCAATCACCATTTGACTACTGTATGGAACTCGGGTTAATTTCCCAATACCCCCTTGGCACTGCATACTTGAACTTGCAATAAAATGTATACACAATCTTTATGCGTACAATATTTCAGCATTTCTGCCATCTCAGTAGTATTTTTCTGGGATGTTGATCTAGCAACCATATAAAGGCAAGGCCATGAATGAGGTAAATAGGAATTTGTCCTTGCAGATAGGAAGCTTGGCAGAGAGAATAAACAAAATAGGAGAAGCTGAGGCCAACCTACTAAAAAAACTGCACTTGAAGGAAAGCAGTGAACACTTTCTAATTCAGCCTTCTAGGAGAATTTTTGTGGAGGAGGTTAACAGCTTAACACAATTTTTATCACTTACAAAATAATAAGAGAGATTGACAGTTTTGTAGGGGGGAAAGTCCTCTCTCCCTCTCTCCATAAAAGCTGCAGCATTGACATTTCCAGCATCCCCAGCCCACGCTGCCATAAAAAAAAGTAAAGAGGAGAAAAGTGGATCCTTCCACCAATGACTGCTGGATCAAAACTTGAAACAGTGCAGTCATTCTTACTTGTAGAAATTTCAGTGCCTCAGTTTTAGTTAAATGATGAGTTTAGAATTGCTCCTTAAAGGTCTCATCTCAGCTGTTCCTTCCCGAAGAGAGCTGCTTTTGTGATCTTTATGGACTTATTGTTTTCATGGTATGTCCATAAAACATACCATGAGGATGGGATGATCTTGAGCAAAATCTCCCGACACAATTCTACTTTCAGTGTTTTTGTTTCTCTCAATACTTCCTGTCAACATCCCCCACCCTTTCCCTGAGGAACAAAGCTGTTACCCCATCTTATCATTACAACCTCATGGTTACCACCCCTATGAGATTTGTGGCTCATTGGTTATTCAGACCCATCTCCCCTGGACCACCGGAACATTTCAAACCCAGTAAAGACTACAAGGTTTTTTGTCATGTTGGATTTAGGAATTTCAGGAAATCCTCCCATTCTTTAAAAGTTATTTGACAAGGCTGGCCGAACACAATTTGCTGCTTGAAATAAAGGACAGGAAGTCACTTGTTTCCACATGAAGGAGCCAGCCACAATTACAGGTGATTCTTATTTCAAGGCAGGCAATGGAAGAATGCCCATCTACCACACCTGTGGATCCATCACATCTGTGGCACTTGTATTCTGTTCTCCAAAAGAGAGATTGGCTATGGGGCCCAGGAGAAGAAGCCGGAGGCTGCCACGTGTACTCCCTAGCATGTGGTACATGAGGCATTCATCTCACTCTGCCTAATGGTAGGGTAGGGCCAGGCCTCTATTTAGGCTTCAGTTCCAAACACATGCTTCCTTACTAAGAAATAAATCTCACTGACCATCATGCAGTTTGCTTCTGACCAGGAGCCCTCTGTCTACAGAGATTGATGAACTCATTTTATATCCTCTGAGATACAATTTGATATGATACACCAGTTTCTGATGTGTGCAATCCCCACTTTGGAACTTCATTTTTTACTTCAGATCCTATGCCTTCCACAGGTATCTGGGATGATTTCTGGACTTATCTGTCCCCTCCCCATGCAGTTTGATCAAGAGTCCCAAGGAATTCAAAGTTTGCCTTTCGAGGCTTTTGGTGGTGGTGGTGGTGGGTTTCCAAAAGAAAGATACTGCACAGCCCAGATTATAGTTAATGTTGCAATCTCAAGGTCGATTGGTGAGACTTTAAGCTACTGGACTAGTTGACATTTAAACTAGCCCTTAAAAACCCATTTCAAAAACTTTACAAGAAGCATTTCAAATTTCAAACCCTGAACTTGAATATTACATTACATTAATTTTTGAAATTTGTCATGTATCTATGAATGTCTGATACGACAGATGGATTGCTAGGCCTCAGTTGGGTCCCCCCGCTGCTATTTCTCCAGTTGTAGATGAACCCTAGGCTTTGTTACTGCCAGTACAGCAGCAAGGTGTAATGGCAGATGGCTAATTGTAGCATCACAGGGGACTCCATGCTCTAGAGCAGTGGTCTCCAAACTATGGCTCACGGGCCACATCAGGCCCACCTTGCCTTTTTATCCGGCCCAGCAGCCAGGCGGGAGGGCATGCATG